AGTTTTCATTGCTTAATGGAGCGCTAAAAGTTCATGTTGTTGTGCGATAACATTAGTCAGAAGTTGTTTGAAGCGAGCATTTGTGCAGCACAGAAAACACACTTTTAAAAATTTGTTAATAAAAAATTATCAGTTATAACTTAAACAATAAGAAATGTCAAAAAAGAATTAGTTTCCATTAGTTTTCAAACAAACAAAATCGAACTATCAGCAACTTGTGCTTTTGGGGTAACTCTACTCATCATTGCTCTATAACCTTTTCCTAAAGACAGTAGAAATCAAATTAGAGGCGGAAGTACTTGGGAGTTACAGGGGTGCTAAGCGAGTGCCAGCAACAATCACCGCAGCAAAGCTCGCAAACAAACCCATCTTTTGAAAGTTGCTTAGAAGCAAGTTGATGGCGGTTGAATTCCTGGCATGTAACAAGTTTACTTTCGAAACGAACGAACGAATCGTAGAGGGATTGATGTCTCACTGACGCAGTCGAACCTTCGATTTTGAGCACAATTGCATACTTTTACCAGTATTCCAATACCGAATATAACACAATAAACACTGTAGATTTTTTGATTAAATATTTCTAGACTTCGATCATCAGTTATTTTATCGTCTCATTAATTTTCACAGTTGCAGAAGCTGGCAACTTCTCCATTCTTCTCTGTTTTAACCTACTCTTGTCTGCTTAATTTCGGTGAAGCACTAAAAATCATTATGTTTTTCCTAAATAATGGCCTTAGCACGCCTGCAACCTGATTTGGTTACACAAATAGTTATGAGAGGTAGCGAGCCAAATCAATAAAATTTGTATGCTTTTTCATCTGGTAGCGCTTTTTTGATAGATGAAACTTCGACAAACGGTACCTCATCCGACAAATATTTCAATGTGACAGAATGCAGCAATCGATGGAATTTCATCTGCCAGATGCCAGCCCTTTTACAGGTACACTGCGCCATTCTGCATGTGTCAAGGGAAAAACCACACTTTTTACATCTGTGAGTAGAGAATTTACCGCTAAAATTTTAAAAAGAGAGAGGAAGAAAGGATTTGTGTACGTGGCTCAACGATTGCAGTAGAACAGGAGAGGCGCGGTTTTAATTAGCTTTATTCTAGGATCGCACTACCGATGGAGTTATTTTATCAGAAGAAAGCATGCATGACGCAAGAAATGACAATTATGAGCTTACTGAACAATGTTTGTTTCTTATTTTCTCGCATCACTTATCACCGAGAATTGCGAGCTTCTGGAACAAGTACCAAATGAATTCTAAATTAAGTTATTTAAGAGTAAGCTAAAGCTGGAAATATTATCAATTATCGGACTCAAAGTTTGTTGATGTTGGGTCTCCAAGTAGAAATTTTTTTAGTTGTCAAAATCTCTTGTCACAAAACTAAATAATAATGAACAATGAAGTTGCAGCTCCGTGTGGCAATGATCCTTTGTATTGTCCACTGAGAACTAGACAGGGTACCGTATGTTACCATCTGCTAACCAGGCTACACTACTGGGAACAAGCCAGCGAAGTGTGCGACGCGCAATATCAGTCCGATCTTAGTTCCATGCATTCGAGGGATGAAATCGATTTCATCTATCAAATGGTACAACTGTTTTTGCTAAGCCTTTAAATTACAGTTGAGGAAGGGAGCGAAGAATTTTTACTTAGCATTTTTACTTTGCAGTACTTTTTATCAAATTTCTAAATGAATTTTTTTCCGGTTAAACAATAAGGCAGTCAAGAAGCACGGAACTGATGTACGGATCTCCGTATATTACTCCTTCGTAGCTATGGTCTGCAAAGGCAGAAATTTTAAAAAAAAATTTTTTTTATTCAAAATCATAAATCAAAAAGGCAAAAGTTTTTATCCTATCATTCACATGTGTCATATACTGTTTGAATCTCAAAGTGCGTGGCTTCTTTGTTAATTACTGAAAATCACATATTTAACTGAATTTGAAAATTGAGGTATTGCTGCAACCTACAGTAAGCGGTGAAACAAAATACTGGATTGGACTGCATCGAAGAAATGTTCATGGGTTAGTTTGAAAAATGCCACAAAGAAGAAAATCTTATCCATAATCAATTTTAACTTCAACTAAGGGAGCGAGATTTGAAGACAGGAGTTTAATTCCATACCAAATCGCCACCCTCATTCTTCCTCGTTTTTCCTCATGTTTGAAAATTATTTGACGAATTTGACATCTGAAATCCCACTATGTTTAAAAAGTTATATTTTGGCTTGTTGTAGCCAATACGAATGGTCAGATGGTTCAGCGTTTGATTACATGGTACAGACGGTGGTAAACGAAGATCCAGATGAAGAAGCTGGTGCCTGCACAGCAATTAAATTCAATGTCAGGTTCGAAGGATTTCCTGAAAACACGGAATTCATACTTTCAAAAAAAAAAAAACCATGCACTAAATATACAAATTTGCCTTCGGAAGTAAACGGTTATTAACAAACTATGTTATAGCACGAGGTCACTGCTTTCATCGTCGCTATACTACAAAATGGGCATTCCACCGCCTCCACAAAAAAGCGCTCCAGGTATCCTTTCCTGCTTTTCCCCGATAAAAACTCTTAATGATTCGGCTGGTTTGTTGGCATTGCTGATGAAATTTGAGGAGCAAGGAAAGTTGAAAAATAGTGTTTTTTTTTCGAAAAAAAGTTGGATGAATTTTAGTACCTTATAAATCGCTCTTTTCAATGTACTGCGTTTTATACATACTTTGATTAGTTGCAGTTTATAATGCGGTTCGCCAGCTATGTAGCTGACAACTTTTCTAATGCTTTGACCAATGACCCATCGATCAATCTGAGCCTGACGTTCTTTTTAAAACGCTGGTGGTGCTATCAGCTCATCACGTGTGATTGAAAGGCTTCAGGTGTTTCGAGATAATAACCTTAGTGTACGCAGAACATTGTGCCTTATGTTTATGTAAATGAAAGTAATTGCTGGGTAGATTACTGGAAATGAAAGCAATTTGACATACATTACCTTTATAAGCAAATTATTGCAGCATACACATGGATTCATCAGCGATGCGACAGCCGACATTTA